TATTGGGCAGAATATGTACAGGAAAGACATTTGTCATTTTTAGTTGAGGCAGTTCAAAAGAAAAAATGTTTAAAACCATAGGAAAATGTTTAATATGTAAATTGATTTAGGAACAAATCTTCCTTAACATTTGACTTAATTATTTTCAGACATTAAGGTAGGGAAACTCACATCATTGGTATAGCCCTTTGGTTCACTTACCACTTTGGGTGGCCCCTAGGCCTTATCTTCTGTCCCTTTTATGTTGATTGGCCATAGAAACTAAGCCAAAAAAAAAATGCAATATAGATAAAAAAAAAATCACAGTGCAAAATCAGCTTTATTGTACCAATATTATTCTTACCTATTTGGTCACAGTTTTTATATGAAAAAATTGGCATGAGACTAACCCTCACCAAGTATACACAGATACCCTTTTTTTCAGAAAGAGTAAAAAAACAGAATGACTGTGAAAGTTAAATATTAAGAAGAAACCTAATTAGCTACAAGCATAGTAGTTAACTAGAAATATATGACTAGACATACATCCCAGGTACTAGAACTTGGATTTTATTGACCATTAAAGGACTTCTGATATGGCCACTTGAGACAGGAACTGAGTGGAAGTACTAGCATATACCCAGACCTAGAAAGACTGTGCCTCTTCAGTGAAAGGGAATCTAGAAAAGTTCAAAGAAACAACAAGACAGCTTGTCTCTGACCAAAACTATATATAGACCTGGAATTACCTGCCATAAAGAAAATCCACAAACTGGGACATTCACATACAAATATTACCTCAAGGACTAAACTTTTGTTCCCCCAAGAGAAGCAATTGCAAAACCAGCCTGGCAAGTCTTCCACATACAAGTTAATATAAAAAAATTCATTACTGATAAAGATGGGCACAGTAAAAATCTTACACACCACATAAAAAAAACCAATCCATCACAAAGGATAATTGAAACTATATGGTCATCAATATTTGAGGTCATAGAAAAACATGAAAGAGTATAAAATCTGTATTTAAACAGAAATAATTTAATAGCCATGTAAAAGGAATGTCATGAAAAATGATAGGCGGAATTGGAAAAGAAAGTAAGAAAACATCTACAAATGAAAGTTATAGTAATTAAAATTTTAAAAATAAGAGAAGGCAAGGCATAATGGTGCATGCCTGTAATTCCAGCAACTCAAAAGGCTGAGGCAGGAGGATCACAGAAATTATTAAAGCAACAATTGAGAAAAACCAGATCAACCTACAAAAGAATTGTTATTATACTAATAGTGACTTCGAATTAGCAACAATAGATGCCCGCAGTTGCATAATATCTTCAAAGTGCTGAAGAAATAACATATATTATACTTCTTTCCAGTGAAGAGTATAAAAAGAAAATAATCACGTTTTCAGGCAGAGACTACCTCACTAAAAAGAACTTCTATAACTATATCTCAGAAAAGTTGAACCCCAGAGGAAAACTCAGATGGTTTTTTGTACTAATTCTTCCAGGAATAGACTATTATATAAAGTGTTCTAGAGAATTAAATAAGAAAACTCAGTTTTTACAAGTCAAGTTCACTGTTGATAACAAAACAGAAAAGTATATCCCAAGAAGAAATAAACGTCAATCACAGCAATCTGAAATGAAATATTTGTAAAACAAATTAATCTTTTTATTTTGCCATATGCATATTACCACCAACCTAGTCACCTTATTTCTCTCCTGAGCTATCCAATAATCTGCCAACTAGACTTCCTGCTTCTTGCCCTGGCCTTCTTAGAGTCTATTCTTAACTTAGCAGGACGCGTGAACATATATTAATGTAAGAGAAATCTTCTAGAAACTTTCCATTTCACTCATACTCTTTATAAGGACCTCGGACTCTTCATATCTCATCTAGTGCTCATTATATCATTCCTGCAACAGGATTCTCCCTACTGCTATTTAAACATGCCAATCAAGCTTCTGTCTTGGAATCTTTACACTTACTGTGCCTTCTTCAGTTACTCCTTCCAAAGATAAGCAAGATTTATTGTTTTATCATCTTAGGGTCTTCATTCACTTATCTTTTTCTTCATTATGTCTTTATTATTTTAAATTGTTAAGCATTTCCTTACCAACTCTTTAGACACTTCCTACTCTCTGTTCTGGCTTTGTCCATAACATTTTTATCTTTATCATACTATATATTTCATTTATTGACTTATTGTCTCTTTTTCCCAACTAGAAGATGGGCTTCATGAGGACAGAAATGTTTATCAACTTTGTTGAATGCTGTATCCCCCATAATCCCATAATCTGAAACTGCCTGGCATGGAATAATTGCTTAATAAATATTGGCTGAATAAAAATGCACTGAAGAGTAGGTGTTTCTTGAGGGAGAAAAGAAGAGCAAGATTCAAGGGGAGACATATGTTTTATAGTGTGTTATATCTCTTTCTCTCTTCTTTTTTTGACACTGTGGATAGAACCCAGGGCCTCATGCATATTAGGCAAGAGCTCTGTCACTGAGTTACATCCTCAACCCTCATGTTTTGTTTTGTTAATCCGAAGGAATTGTGAAAGATTTATTTACATAAGTTAGATTTGATGATAGATATAACAGTTTCCATTCTATTATCCCGTTCCCTCTTTATATGTGAAATGACAAATTTTTAAACAATTAAAACGTGTATAAAGATCATACTGGTGAGGATATTAAGAAAACTTTAGATGTAAAGGGTAGATTTTGAATAGAGAAGAAACAATATTTCTCTTCTATTGTCTACTTTTTAAATATTATATAAAATTATAAAATGACTACAATATAATAATTACTATGAATAAAGAGTTACATGTTCTGCATCAAAATACATAAGTTTCAAAATTAAAGATTATAGAAAAAAGCAAACTAGAAGAAATTATACATGAGTATATGATTGTAGGGAGGGTATTAGTTTTTTTTAGTATAAAAGTAAATGAATAAATCATATAGGATTAAATAAATCTAAATAAACCTTAATATGGTTAAATATAAATTTATATAAATACAAATCTCAAGGATGTATTTGACAAGAGCATTTATATATTTTGTACGCTCTTCAAAACTATATGGTTCACATAATTTGATTCTCAAATCAATGTTTAAATTTAAACAAAAGAAAATAAGTTCAACTTTTATTTTTTGAGCAAAATGAATGATTTTTTAAAAATTTTTGCATTATATAGATGGGGGAAAAACTTTCTTTTGAGGTTATTCCACATTTACTTGAAATAAAAATAGGTGGTCAGATAACTTGCCATGTGCTCCCTTACTTTTTTGATATATACCCCTGATGTTTTCACCTTCATTCCTTTTCTTTTATATTCTTTCTTTTTCCAGCTTTAGCTTAGAAAATCATGTATCCCAAACACACCCAACTCAACTGTCATCTGCTTCATGAAACATACTTCTTCCATTATCAAAATTATCCATTTTTCCTTTGAGCTGTTATGGGTTATATTTAGTCATTCCATTATAATACTTAATAATTTGGTGTTAAAATTTATTGAAAATATAGAGGATAATTCTGATACAGAAGATATCTACTGAACTATGATACTACTGTGCCTTATTCATTTTCATGGCTCATGAGTTTTGTCTTCACTACATGACCAACACTACATGCTATAGGCTAAAAAGGACAGGTGTTAGATTGAATGTAAATCATGTTACATGTTGTAAATTCAAATAAAAGCTAAGTGATACATATCACAAAACTTTTCACTGTAATTTTTTTAAAAATGTGGTCAGTGAGTTAAGTTTTCATTTAGCACATGGTGGAACTGAACATGGTAATGTAAAAGGATATACCACTGAATCAGTCAGTACTATATTTGTAGATTTTTTAGCTTCAACAAAACTATCTGCTAAATTAAATTAATATTAATTTGAAATGTCTTGATATTGTGGTTACTTTATTTCCTTTATAAAGGTGTTTGTGCTTTATACTTTATTTTGTATGCATGAGATGTATATACTCACTGTTATATTTGTATATAAGTGTCATGTAATCTAAGTCAGTATCAGGAGTCTGGTTAGACTTTTTCATTTAAAAGCTTTATATATTGCTCAAAGTTAGGAAACATCAGAACTGACTGCTTAGTATTATAGAGGTCAGGAGGCAGAAGAAATCAATATTAGGATAGTAAGAAACATCAATTTGATTGTATTATGAAAACTAATTTTTTTATTCATTGTCAAATAATCTGGAAAGAACTTTGTTCAGATCTTGAATCAATATGTGTTCTTGGTACTTAAATATCCTAATTGAAAATAAAATAAGGAGTGATTTTTAACTTTTTTCTAAAACTTTGGTTTAGTAGTTTATTCCTTTAACCAATCATCTAAATGTCTTTATACTGTCCTCATTGGCAATCTATCAGTTTATAGCCTGTATGACTTTGTGTGAAATGGTTTAGATTTCTTTAAAAATCTGAAAAATCTCTTTTTTTTGGGGGGGGGTTATTTTAATCTCAAGTATAGCATAGGTTTGCTGGTTTTTATTTTGGTTATTTAAGGCAGGATTGTTTCTCTGCAACATGAAATATCTCTTAATGTATATTTTATGGATTATTTTTATTTTAAAGCATTAATAAAAATTAATCATAGAATATAATATTGTGGTGTATTTTGAATCTAATGAGAATCTTAGAAGCATACTTCTATACAACCAGCACATTATAAAATCAGAACGATTAATGAAGAAAATAATTTTTAATATAGTTTGACCTTAATTATTTTTTAAAAATAAGTATTTTGTGATTTATATCATAATATTTAGAATAAGAAGGCTAACTGAAAATTGTAATTTAATTACCAGAGTACTATATATAATGTTATTTTGTTTGTATTCAGTATTACTTTTACTTACCATTCTTGTTACAAAACAAAACCTTGTCTTTTAGAGAATACAGTGGTATTATTTACATTAATTCATATGGCTTGGTGAAAAAAATGCTATAACTCCTTTACTTAATGGGATTCTTCCCCTGTGGCAGTGCAAACGGCTAGAGCAGGAGCTTCATCATCTGAAAGAGCAGAACCAGACTTCAGCAAACAACATGAGACATCTGACTGCTGAAAACAATCAAGAACGTGCTCTGAAGGTAAATCTCCGTTCCTTCTTGCAGGCAAATTAAGGTTGTAAGCCTTTGGTGCCAGCTTTCTGTGCTGCATATATCAGTTGTGTACATTTCAGCAGAAGTGAGCTGTGGTGTTTGCCAACAACCCCTTCTTTAAACACAGATACAGCACCCTTCTGTTATGGTATTATTTTATTTCATGTATGTGTACGTGAAAACAACATATTTTCTGAATTTTGAGTAGTGTATTAATAACTTTTAGTACCTATTTATTCTGTTTCTTCTTCAGTTTTTTTATATTATTACCTTTTATAGTTAATAAAAAAAGTAACTTCACTGAGATGAAAAATTAAATCATGGGCCCTTTCTTTGCACCCATATTTATTATAATAATTTTTAAAATGAGTTGTCACAGGAGTAACCCACAGAATTGACACTCCTGAAGCATATGTGGAGTGTGTTTGGGAACTGAAAGAGTACTTATACTGTTACAACAAAAAAGAAAGAGTTGGGCTGGCTTTGTGGCTCAGCAGTAGAGCGCTCACCTAGCGTATGTGGGGTGCTGGGTTCAATCCTCAGCACCACATAAAAATAAAATAAAGGTATTGTGTTTAACTATAACTAAAACATAATGTTTTAAAAAATAAAGAGCTAATATATTCAACTAGAATCTGAAACAAGTGAGGAATATATTATATAATAAATTGTCATTGCCGTATAGATTCAGTAATTGTGAAAAAGCACATTGTTTAGATTCTGGTAATTACATTTTTTTCTTCAGATGCTTGTGACTTTCTGTTCTATTTTTTTGTTTTTCCCTGGATTCCTATTATAATGCATGTGACACAATAATGGCCTCTACCCTCAAGGTGCTTGCATTCTCAGGAACAGGTTAAAGAAAATTCATGGAAAACAAAAGATTTATCATTGTTTTATTGTATAGTAAGAAAAGATTTGCTACCAAGAGGATTATATTGTTCTTTCAAAGTCACTTTTTTGCTGCAGATTGCAAATACCATGGTATTAACAGGGTCATACACTAGGCCAGAATTAAGAAATCTCACTATCAAAATTGAGAAAAGTATTTTTAGTCTGTCAATAAAGTGGGAGGTTTAGTAGAAGTCAGATTTTTCTACAAAATATGTTTAACTTCATTTTGAAATTCTTAGTGCTAAGCTTATAATAACTTTGTTTTTTAGTACAACGTATTTTCTCTTATCTCTGATTGAATTTTTAGTTAGACCAGAAAGATAAGTGAGAAAAGAGAGAATTATAGATTGCTATGATTGTTCTTATTTACTTCCAAGGAGTAGACTCTTTTATGAAAATTAAATACGACAATGTTTTAAATGTTACCTGCGAAATGGAAAACATTATTTTTAAGGCAGCTTCCAGAATGCATGCTAAATTATCACCATTAGGGGAGAGATTTCATATAATATGATTGTTTCCATTTAAAACAGGACCTCAATTTAAAAATTCCAGTTTGTTAAGTATATAGTTATTGCATGGCCTTTGTTCTGGTATTTTGGGTTGTATGTTTAGGTTAAATTTAATTAAATGGTGTTTCAATTATGAAAAGAAATAGATGCACAATTCTAAGAGATCATTAAAATTAGAAGAAAATAAGTACACCAAAAGAAACTCACAAGTTCAAAATAAAAACCAGACCACTATACAAGAGCAGTTTCTATAGAGCATAAAACTTAAAGTAATACATAAATATAGCTCATTTTTACTCCTGAAAAATGTACTACATTAGTAGTTTCTAGTTTCTCATCTTTTTATGCAAAAATTTCAGATTTTTGAGCTTTTTATTAGTCCTTGATAACCTCATCCATTAGCTAAAGCCAGCTTAAATTCTTGGTAGAGTAAGGAAAGGAAGAAGAATTAGTTTTGGAAACTCTCTCATCAACTCAGTCTTTCATAAGCCTCTGTATTCATTTAGGCTCTTTTAAAATGTCCATCTTATGTGACACCAACTTTGAATTATTTTTAGTCATTTTAAACCATATTTCATTATGAGAAACTCTAAATTTATTATGAAAATTGGATTGTTTATAATATATCTGATTTATTCTAAATCATATTTTAAAAGTTTTTCTTACCTTTCAGGAATGTTGTTGTTTGGTGCTTTTTAAAAATACACTGCTCTATCTATAAGTTGTCCTAGAAGCTTCGAATAATAAACTCTGCTTTTTTGTATGCTTATCTTTTTCAACCCATGTACATGTATGTATCATTTTTGTTAACTGATTTAATATTTAGTTTATATCTAAATCAGCATTAAGAGCAATGTTAAAGCTTTCAGTCTACCAATAATATATTTGATTATTTATTATAAATAGTATTGTTATGAATATCACTAATAATGGTAGATTTGGAGAGAGTAGGAATTAAAAAATTCAACTTGTTTACTGAATTTCACTGAACTTTCTAAAAGAAACAGTTCTTTGTGTGTGTGGAGAATTTTATTTGACAGATAACATACACATTGTTCTTGTCCCATTTTTAAAAATTTTTATTTGTATTTTTTTAGATACACATGACAATAGAGTATATTTTGACATTTATGTAAACATGGAATATATTAGAATAAGGAAGAGTTGTAGGAATATGCTTGGGGAAGAAAAAATCTTAAGTTAATTATCAACCATTCTTTCCAAATTGAAGATTACAGCATCATCATAATTACTTACAAGGAAATACTATTCAATAATCTAGTGTCATTCAAATAATAATGTCTTTGTTTATTCTAATAACTGGAAAATTCTTCCTAATTTTTTTATGGTAAAGCATACAAATACACTTGGTCATTTATAAACATTCTATTTGGAGTAGCAAGGAGTTATACTAAGTGAATTTATTAGATATGGCACGTTTTTCTCCTAGTTTTATGTATTTATTAAAAAAATTTCCTAATAAAAGGTAAAACACAGAGGTACCTACAGTGTGAGGAACTGAATTATACCAATACTTGTATACATAGAGGGGTTTTGGTGGGGTTTTTTTGTCTTTACAAAAAAAAACACCTTATTTATTTTTCTCATTTAAAATAAATTGTATCCACTGACATTAAGAAATTGGTTTCCTGGGACTGGGGTTGTGGCTCAGCGGCAGAGGGCTAGCCTAGCACGTGTAAGGCCCTGGGTTCAATCCTAAGCACCACATAAAAATAAATAAATGAATGAATGAATAAATAAATAAATAAAGGTATTGTGTCCAACTACAATTGAAAAAGAAATTAGATTCTTGAAGAACACATTTATGGACATTTAATGGTTTAGAAATAAATTTAGATTAGCCTTAAATATGTAGACATTGAACTTTTTTTTAAAGATTTTTTTATATGGACACAATATCTTTATTTATTTTCGTGTGGTGCTGAAGATCGAACCCAGTGCCTCACATGTGCAAGGCAAGCTCTCTGCTGCTGAGCTATAATACCAGCCCGACATTGAACTTAATAAGACAGTTTATGTACATTACCTTTCTTCTTTTTATTTTACCAATTGCCTTATCACACATCTTTAACCTCCTACAGTTGGAGTTCGTTAATATAATTCTGTTAAAAGCCATTCTTTCTTAAATTATAAGTGACCTTTGATGGTAAATAAACCATTATCTATTCATTATTCATTATCATATCCAACATCCTAATCAATGTAATGATAACAGATTTCAATTTTATTGGCTCTTCAAATACTCATTCCTAGTTCTCTGTTGCTGTGTCTTCATCATTTTTCTCTTCTTTGAAACTCAAACAGTTTCACTGCCCCTAAAATTCTCTGTGTCCTCCCTATTCATCCCTTTCAACCCTCTGTTCCCTGACAACCACTGATGTTTTTACTCTCCATAGTTTATGTCTTTCAGAAATTACACAATACTTATAGTCCTTTCAACATTTGTTTTTTGAAGCCTTTATATTGCTTTTTAAGGCTAAATAATACTCCATTATTAAGTGTACCACAGTTTATTCATTCATCTACTGAAGGACCTCTTGGTTGCTTACAATCTTTGGCAGTTTTGAATAAAGCTCCTCTAAACAACTGTGTGCAGGTTTTTGTGTGAATGTAAGGTTTTCAGCTCATTTAAGTAAGTTCCGAGGAATGTAATTTCTGGGTCATATGGTAAAATTATGTTTAATTTATGTAAGAAATTGCCACTTTCTTCCAAAGTAACTGTACCATTTGCATTTCCACCACTGATGAATGAGAATTCCTGTTGCACCAAATTCTCACCAACAGGATGTTTCTTATCTCCAATCATAGTCTCCTTTGTATGCCTCTGCTATAGAACTGTTGAAAAGTTAAACACTTTCTCATCCTTTCTTTTTGCCAGTGAGACATTAAAGGGAGTGTACAACAGGGGTAGGGGAAGGGAGAGGGTGCCTTGGGAGTAGTTTTTGTTTTTCTAATGTAAGGCAGATGAAACAAGCAATATCACTCCTTCCCTTCTTACTATCGTGAACACTTACCTGCTCTCTGAAACTATAGCAGCCATTTTACAGTCATGAAGAGAAGGCTGAGAAAAGTCATTCAACATCATTGAGCCCCTTAGCCAACGAGCACTTAGAGAACATTAAGCCCCTTGACTTTTTTGGGGGGGAGGAAGAGAATATAAAACTATGTTTAATGTAATTCTTAACAGTTTTCTATTATTTACTCTCCACTTGATCCATCAATATCAGTTAATTAATGGTACTGCCATTCTCCTAGTAGACATGTAGGCCATAGTAAATGAGGAGATAGATCTTCATATCCTTCCACACTCTCACCCACCTTGAAAAACAGTTTGTCTTTTAGTTCCATCAGCTATGCAGCAGTTTTTTTCTTTCTGCCTTCATTTTCATTTTATCTTAAGTCAGGGTCATGACCAGACAATCACAGTACCATCCTAATTTATTTGTCTTCATTTTCTCACCTCTAGAGAGGTGCCATCAGCTATTCTTCTAAAACACAGGTAAATGACCCTTCTGGGCATAAAAAGAAAGAAAGAAAGAAAAAGGCCAGTTTTGTTGGTGC